TCCTCTACAAGAAAGGTCTTATGCAATTTTCCCGTAGATCCAACGGTTTGGGAGTTATTGGCGAAAAACGAAAATTTGGAAGAAATTGAAGGTGTACCCCTTGGAAAAATCTCGGAAAAATCGAAAATTTTTTTTTGTTGTTTATTATTAGCAATGTTCTTCCGACGTCTGATTTCTTTTTAAAAAATGCGTTTCTAAAGTGCATAAACTTTTGGGATGACTGTATAGCCAATACATCCTTAACAATACAAACCTTACAATAGAGGTATATCACTCTCAGTTATTATTTTTCATTATTAGTGTACATTTTATATATGTTATGCTGTCAACTAATAAAATTAATTAATAGTTGGAAGCTGGAGATATATTCTGTATCATTTTAACAAGAAACAATCCTGGAGCTGAATAGAACTGGAAATCGAGAAATCGACGATAGTAGTCGGGATGTATAATTAATCGGTCGCTACGTGATCGAATTAAAGGAGCAATTCGAAGTACGAAATTGATCGCAACAATTTAATCGCGCGCGCGATGGAGAGAGGAGGCAGAAGAGAGAGAGAGAGAGAGAGAGGGCGGGGGAGGGACGGGTGCAGCGCGCAACGGGTCTCCGTAAATTATGCCCGGTGAGTTACAACGAGTTTAAAGCTCGTTAAAACGCGAAAGACCGAGACCCGGTGCAAGAGAGAGAAGTTAATTAGAAGGAAGTAGTGGAAAAGAGAAAAACGCGATGAAAAAGAAGAAAGAGGAAAAATAAAAAAAGAAAAATATATATCAAGGGGAATTTAGACGACCCGCCGCCGCGGCCGCGACCGAAAAGGGAGACATTAATTAAAGTGCAGAAAGCGCGCGGCGTACCTGATCAAAAGTTAAATAATTAATAGAAACCGTGAAGTTCAACCGGAATCGCGAATTAACGAAAATAATCGGTACACGAGCGAGTCGCAGCTGCTTTCCACGTGATTGTTTGCCCCGATCGAATCCACCTTTGCTTCCAGTTTCAATAGTTTCAGACGTGATCGATCGAGGAATTCCTTTAGAATCAATATTCTACGTACAGAATGTGTTGTATTATTAGTTAGAAAACGGGAACGGTAGAAGACCTGGTTTGCAAATATTGTTCCATCTTCGAACAACTTAGGCACATCGTGTACCTACGGAAGCAGCAATATTAGATGGTTCTATATGCAGATTCAAAGGGTGGATCCGAGCGCCCAGTAAAGCTGGCTACAAATTTGCTCGTACAACGGAGGAGCCTTTAATACTGTTTACGTACGAGCCTCGCGTTTAAGGGATTTTATCCGGACGTTATGTAAATTGTCTTTTATCGTCCCACGCGTGAAAGTCGAACCCGCCGAAGAGGCTGCGAGCGTTACGTAACATCCACCTTGTAAAAACAACATCGGTTAAAAAATAGTGGACGCAGTCTCTGCACAGTAAACTACTCGAAAGTCGACTTGCGAACGGATGGAGCAGAAATCGAGATTCTCAAACAGGGAGGACCGGTTCCCGTGGAAGTACGCCTCCGGGAAAAAAGGACGGAGAAGGGTGGGAAGATGGGGTGGCTGGAAGGAAGCGCGACAAGTCGGAGCGCGAGGCCTCGCGATTCAGCGACGGAGATAATCGTAATAATGGGTTTGCCTACCACCGGAATCTACCCTCTTCGACTTTGTACATCAACCCTTAGGGAGGGATAACGGTGAAGAGGACTAGGCGAGTTCAATGCCGTGCAAACACGTGAGACGGCTCGATGGATCCTCGCCGAAACGATCGACGAGATCGCGGATTTCCTCGCGATCCTTTGACGCGCTACGCGACCTCGTCTGTCGCTTTGTTCGCCGTTTATTGAATCTCCTGGATGACGGACTTAATATTCGATGCGCCGCGTTCAGTGCGAGTTTACAGAATTTCTAAGTTCCCATTTCGAAGTCCTCGCTCGATCGTAAGATGCATCGAACGAGCATTAGTCGCTGATTTTTCGGTGGAATGAAATCGTTGTCGCTGGTCGAGTATTCTTCTCATTATACGACGTCGGGATTGATTTTGCGTGACGCTCGTCCCAGAAACCGGAAACGGTCGATGCGGCACTCTGGCCCTCCGATCGCGATCGGGCAAACGACGACAGGTGGAAAATTCTCGTTTTTTCCCCCATCCTCCCTCCTTGCTTCTTCCTCCTTTTTTCGGCGTCTCTCGATCCTTTGCAAGCCCTCGAAAGTGTGCTCGCGTCGAACTCGAGGTTCGAGTGTCTTGAAGTGCGCGAATATATCTCCTTTCCGTTCGTTACGTCGTTCGACTCGTTAATTCAGTATCGATTCTCGATCGTTCATCGCAAAGAATCTTATTCGAGGACCGTCGAATCCGCAACAGCCTTTTCTGCCCTCTGATTTAGCTCATCCGCCCGGTTTTTCATGGATAGTTCATCGATTCGAAACACTGCGGCAACTTCGTTTCGCAAAAATTATATCGGTCCACGGTAGGAATAGATTTATCTGTAAAGACGCGAGCTAATTGAGCTTTCAACCTTTCCTCTTTCGAACGTTATACCGTGTACACTTTTATTTCTCGCGCGAGATGATTTTTCGAATAGTATAAACGTGGCCTCGAATATAGAACGTTTCCAGTCAACTTTTAGAGGAGTCTCTCGAGTGATTCACTTTCTATATGCAATAAGTGCCCGAATCAGCTTCTCGCGCGAACGATCAATTTCCCCCCTCCAAAAAGACCAAGACGACGATAATTGTCGATATGCTAATAGTGGCCGAATCTCGATTCGCATTTCTCTGTGCTCCCGCAATGCGACCATGCTCCACTTGCTCGGTTTCGTAATATCGGTTTCGAGGCGGCGCGGTGCGAGGGCACGTAAGATTCACAGAGCTCTCACATAATGATTCGTTAGTCGCCCCGTGCAACCATTGCGAGCTACCTACAGAGCACGACTTCGTACGTAGACTTCGAGTGGCCCTGAGTGGATGGTACCGCAGGGTGGCGGTGCGCACACAGACAGACGTCCGTGCACACGTACGTACCGGGAGCTCGTTTGGTCTCTATTTGTCCCCAGAAGTTCAAGAGTCCAGCGCACACATAAAACGCGCGGCTGTACAGAGGCGAACCACCACCTACGTACGACGATTTGCGTCCCCGTCACTCCTTCGGGTCCCTCTCTTTCAGACTTTCGGCGTCCCGCTTCCGAGGCTGGCCTTCATGGACGGCATTCACGGCTCGGGCGAGATCCGAGTGCCATCGAGTCTGAAACTCGTTATCGAAACTTGTGCGCGCGCGATCGCGAGCGCAACAGCCGAGCGACGGCCGCGGGCATCTCGCCCCCTGACGAAAATCCACGGCTGATTGCAATCAGCTCTCTTTGCGGACTTCCGCGGCTCGGTTCCGCGGCTCGACTTCGCCCGAGTCGCACGACTCTCTGGGGAGTTAGCCGCCGTCTTCCGGTTCAGGGAACCGGCGTCTGCTCGATCGATCAACGGATTAAGATCTCAGCTCGCTTTCTCATTTCGATTTCAATTTTACGTACGAATACCAAAATCGCGAGCGACGACGGAGTTTGAAATGGCTGGTCGTAGGAAAGTAAGGACATTACGGTTCGCGTTTTGCCGTTTGAAGTCGACGATGGGAACGATCGTAGGATAAATTTTGCACGAGATGAACGGCGAACGGATTGAACGAAGAGACGCACCGTAGACGAGACGGCAGACTGAACGAGGGGGACGAGCGACCAGGATGCAACCAATGAGCTGCGTAACAATTATTTATTGTTGCCAGACTGCCGCATCGAGGCAACCAGACCTGTCTGCCCAATGAAGATCGCTCGTTAAAATCTGATTCTGACCGGGTCGTTCTAAATAGCCGCCGAAACGATTCGTTCAGCCCACGCGATGCTCGAATCGAAGAATCGACTTTCGCATGATTGAAAGTCTTCGAATTCCCAGTTTGTAACGACCACTAAATGCTATGACATTTTAAATAGAAGCGTAAGACCGGTCGAAGCAATTAATTCTCTGTCCCTTGAGGGCAATTTGCTTTGACGAAGCACGTCGTGTAGTTAATCGTCGCCGATCGAGAGAACGTAGAAAAATTTCGGGTACCTAAGACAATATTTACACGTCGCGTCGCCGTTCAGCCGGAACAGCTCTCCGGCTGACGATTCTACCTGGCCGAAATTCCATCTCTCGCGACTCGAACAAACACGGCCTCCTCGAGGACTATTTTCGACTCGCCGAGCATCGTCCACTACGATTTGCTTAACACTCTCGCCACTAGAGTAGAAGAGTGTTAAATCGTACGATTTTAACGCGTTCGACGCGTCACCCGAAGACGGCCGTCGCAAATTGCGATCGATGTCTGACCAGAAACTACTTATACTACTGAACCGGTCCGCGACGCTACGATTATCAAACTTAATATTCCCGATTAAACGAATAAAACGGAAACGTTTCAAGAGTTGTACCGAGGTAACTAAATTATTTAACTGGCTAGTAAAGACTCGACTGAGGAGAGTTTTACAACACGTGAAGCCTATTCGTTCCTGCATTTCCGGCTAACAACTCGGAGGCAACCAACGCCCCTAAGGTCGATCGATCCGATTGGCCGAGAGACGTAGATACACCCACGCGTACACCCACCACCTTCTCTCTGCAATTAATCTCCTCTCAGCAATTAATCTGTTCGTCGTGTACGTGCGTCCGCCGGCGGCGTGCGCTCGTGTACGTGCGCAATCTCGAGGATCGTGTTCGCTGGCAAAGGCAACTAAATCGATCAAACGTAGATCGTAATGGATCGTCGCATGCGATGTAATTGTAGATTGGTTGCGTTAAGGGAAACGCGGTTAATGACCTGTAGATGACGGAGTTCGGATCCAATCATGTTCTATCTGCGTTAGGAATTTATGTTGTAATCCGCTTATCTTCGGAGAACGCGGGACAGCGAGCGTAAGACCGACTAATAAAAGGCAGAGAGCCAATAACGAGGAAAGAGTGAGATTCGGCACGTACCTGGGTGGGCGTAAGGTGAATTATGGCGGCTAGGTGTTCCCGTTCAGGCGCACTCAGGTATTTCTGCTGTTTGAACCGCCTCTCGAGCTCGTGAACCTGCTGCTGAGTGAACAGAACGCGACGCTTTCGTCTTTGCTGTAGGTGGGGGAACGGGGGGAAAGACGGTGGAACACCGCTGATTCCCATGCCCGACGACTTCGTCACGTCGCTCATTGACTGGCTCACCGAGCAACCGGCCATGTTGGTCCCGGCGCCCGCCGCCGCGGCGCCCATCAGTCGCGAGACTGCAACACAACATTTCAAATATGTATTCCATCTGCAACGACGAGTCTTGTTCGTCCGACCGATTATTTCCTCCGGCGGACTCGCCGACTCATTTTCTTTTCCACCTATCCATGTCTTATCGCGAATACCGAACGATTCTCTACATCGACGGGACGGGAACGTTCCTGGTCGCTGAAGAACGTCCAGTTTCCATATGATGCCGAACGAACGTCTCGGGATAATTTCACCGGTTGGAACTCCGTGAAGAGGAGAGACATGCGAGAAGAGGACTGAAGAAGAGGCGTAGGTCGAGCCTCTGAATTCGAGCTACTGAAACCCAACGAGCAGTCCATCCCTCGTCAGTTGGCGAAGGGCTGTCAAGAACGGACGCGTCCGATCCGGGACAAAAGGAGCGATTTACCCGCGCAAAGTGCTACGTCATCGAGCACGGGAGGTCCGATGATGAAGTCCCGAATTATTATTATGTCTGTGAGAACGTATTCTCGGCCTGTCAACCCGCACCCGCCTAGGGAAAGAAATACCACTCGAGACACATCAAACACCGACGAATTTGTTTACGCGCGCCGTGCTTGGAAAAACCACTGAGGAATTAATCACGGGCCACCTCTATCTGAGCAAACTTAGAAATTTCCTTTAAACGTGTACTTGAACAACGTATCGCGACGAATCTCCGGAGTCTTGCACTAAGACTTTTTCATCTTGTAGATAAATCCATAATGCGTCAGCGATAATTTCTGGAAGTCAAATAGATGAAGAAATGCGCAGGTTTTAGATATCTCGCATATATCTTTTACTAGAGGATATTTATCGGTGAAAAAATCAGTCGTAAATCGAGAATGTTTTTATGTTATTACGCAATAAATGAAATCTTCACGATTAGGGATTGAAATCATTGACCAGGTTGAATTTAGAAATACGTTTTGTACGCGGAGCGGAGGCAGCCTCGCGCGGCGAGGGCCGTACAGGCTTATTTGTTTAACTAAAATCTCCAGTAGTGTCCGGTAGCCACGCATTTCGGGAGCCGGGGATCGATATTCTCTAGTGGCGGGTAAAGTGGCGCGTGCGACCGACAGAAATCCAAGGAGACGACCGTCTGTTGACACAAGTCCGAAGGACTCGCGTTTTGGACGACGATCTTTTACATCCGAAACGAACAGCTCCAAGCACATACGCAGAACGTTCCCTTCCAACTGGAATCCTTTGATTCAACAACGTTCGAACTTCCACAATGGGTCACAGGATTTGCGAATTGAAGAAGCAATTCTAAAGATCGCATTTGAAAGTTTCAGCAATGTTAGAGCTTGATCCGATATAAATATGTAAGTAGAGTATACATATGCGCGTGGAAGCGAGCGACGGAAGAATTCATGAGCCTCTGACGGGAGGCGTGACACGAAGTAAGGTTTGTTGTGGATTTTGTAACACGAGTCCGATACTACACTTCTTCGATGACTAAATGGACGTAAGTGCGAGTTAGCGGTGACGAAGACACAGAGCTAATAAAACCAGGACGGACGTGCCTCGTCCACGGCAAAAGGGATAATCGCGTGGTATATGGAAGACTCGTTCCCTTCGATAGAGAACAAACTACACATTCCTCCTACGTTTCCATCAATCGAAAGCCGGAAGATATAAGAAGACGCTTCCTAATTTGGCACCAATTGAACTTGTGTCCCGTTGCACTTCGATGAATTCCAGAGTGTGAAGGAGTAGTACTCACTGGCGAATCGGGGATCGTTGGTGGCCGGAGGTCCGGGCGCGTACCACGGATGATGCGGCCTCATGGGATCGGTGGCGGTCGCTGATCCAGCGACCGCGGGCCCCGCGTGATGGTACGACAATTCCGCGGCACAGTATTGATATTGAGAGGTAAGCTGCATGGTCGCGTAAGGATTGCCCATGGCGGTCATGCCTGGGCCGGCACCGGCACCACTGCTGCCTCCTCCGGCGGCGTCGTTCGGACCGGAAACCGGTCCGGGTGTGCCGCCACCGGGCGTCGAGTCTCCGTGAAGGGGTGGACTGCCGCTGCTCGCGCTCGAGCTCCCGGTATTCCCGCCGACACGGGCACCGCACGCGCTTCCGTAAGGCGAAACTTGAGAGTGCGTAACCACGCCGACGCCGATCACCTGTTCCAGCTTCCTGAAGGACTCGTTATCGATGGGCGAGAGAATGTCCGTTACGCTAAACGGTGTGGTATGAGCGCCACCAGCGGCTTGTACGTGTGACGAGTGCTGTTTGGGCGAGAGGCTCATCGCCAGGTCGATACCGTTTAGATCTGTCAGCAAGCTAGCTTGCTCCAGCTGCGTTTGCTGCTGCTGCTGCTGCTGCTGTTGTTGTTGCTGTTGCTGTTGTTGCTGTTGCTGCTGCTGATGTTGGTGATAGCTGGTGGCATTGCCGTTCCCCTGGTTGCCGGCGCTGTTCCTGCCGCTGCCACCGCTCATCTCGACGAGGCCCGCGCCCTCGAAGTACTTGAAGCTCGCGCTTCGCGGAATCCTGAGGCCGGCGCTAGCCCTGGGATACCGACATGACCGAAGAACGCCCTTCGCACAGGGCCCCGTATCGTTTTACCGTAATTACTCACCGCCCGTCGCCGCGCACTTCCTTTATCGTTCTCTTTCACTTCTGGTCCGTTTACAAATCGAGCCGTTTACAAAAACTTGAACCGTTTCAGGAACGCATCACTCGCCACGGCTTGAAACGGGTGCACTTTGTCAGATTCATCGAATGATACACTGGGACACGAACAATCCTAAGGTCACTGACGAATACTTCGGTCTCGGTTCATCGTTCCAGGCAGTATGTTTCATGGACGGTTGTATCACTGGACTCGACGCAATTCACGAAACGTGTCCATCGCGTCGGTACCGACGAGTTCGACTGCTTGCGGACGCGTCCAGCGACGATACCGCGTCATCGTCCGTTCGAACGGGGTCACAGTCACCCTTGAGAGCGATCGCTCGCCGATGGTCAAGGCCGACGACTTTACGATGCTGGCAACGTCTACTCGTCTACCTCGGTGGTAGCGGCGTACCGGAAGAGTCTCTCCGTAAGAAGGGCTCTCTCTCGCGCGCGCATACAACTCCGATCCGGCCGGCCCCTGAAGTCCGTGGTTAGACGACGCGCGGAACAGCCGAGGACACGATTCGTCACGTCACCGACACGGCATGGCACGGCACGGGACGACACGTCACGTCACGACACGGCACGATACCGAAGACGAGCACGAAGGGGTAGCACACACACGTGGTCGAGGAGAGTGGCCGGCCACAGCCGGCCGGCGGCCGACTGAAATCACCCGAGGGGTCTTCGAGTCCTTGGACTGTGCCGATAGAGAGACGATGGTAGATGTACCACTCTACGGTTCGCCTCCACCTTCGCCGAGGATACACTCTCTCTCCGTAGGAGAGGAGAGAGCGTCTATGGATGGATGGCTCGGTGGATTGCTGGCTTGCTTGCTTGCTTGCTCGCTGGCTGGCTCGTTGGCTGGCTAGCTGGTTCCCTGGCTGGCTGGCTCGCTGGCTGGATAGATGGATGGATGGATGGATGGATGGATGGATGGATGGATGGATGAATGAATGAAGAGGACTGTCGGGTACTGGAGAGGTCCTCACGGCCGCTTAGACCCACTCGACCAGCGGCTCGGCCGGTCGCGCTCGCTCGCTCGCTCGTTCCTTCGTTCGTTCGTTCGTCCGGGCTCGGGCCCCACAGCCTCTCGCGGAGAACCCGTACGACGACACGATGAGTGGAGTGCCCACTACGGAGAAGTGCCTGCTACCAAGAGTCGTGATGAGATGTCCCCTTTTGCGTGTGAGAGAAGGGCTCCCTCTCGGTCGGCCGGCAGGCGGAGGGGTGTGCGGGGCCACCACCAACCGACCTCCGGACCGTACCCGGGTAACCCTAACCATTCTCCCATTGGGTGCACCACGCCAATCAACGTACCCGCACGATTCCATTGGGTCGTCGTCCCGACGGTTCGACGCTTGCTCGGGGTTGCACCACGTCGCCTGTCGCGACCAGATTGGTTCGGGTTACGGACATCCTGCTGCGCGTCCGCCTATCGCATACGGATCCCCAGCTGCCTGCCAGGGACCACCTCGCCTACCTAATATTATATCGTGCCGTCTCATGGCCACCGGTCACGGGACGGCCCACCTTCCTTCCTTCCTTCCTCCTTCCCTTTCTCGCGACAGAAACAGAAAGAGACGCGATCCGCTCCGTTCGTCTCGCTCCATCGTTCCGAGACCCGTTCTTTGACAAATTTTACCACCCTTCGCACGCGCGCTCCGCTTGCTTCCCTTTAGGGATGCCACGGCGACTTTACCGACGAAACTACCCCTTGTACGAATTACGATGGTATGCACCCTCGGCTGACGATGTCGTACCGATGCAGTCGACTGTTTCTGTTCGCAGTGCGAAGCATTGCCTCTCGCGTGTACAAACGTACACTTCTATCGAAATTTGTAAGTTTTAATTTCATTTTAGATTTATTCGAACTTAGGTATTGTTAAGTCGCGAGGTCATTTCTTCGAAGTGTATCTCGTTAAAGGATGACGATTTATTATTCTATTTAGGATCGTTGGGCAATAAGATAAAATGTACATCCCATCTTTTCTTTGAAACGGCGCTTGACCGACTGAGAATTACGCACGGCCTGTTTGATCACTTTGATCTATGTATCGATCATCCCCACTCCAACGATCTTCCCCACTTCGCGCTTAAAAGATATGATTTTAAGACACGACGACGACGACACGACATCTAGTAGCTTATCTCTATCCAAACGGAGAGGTATGGTATCTGTACGTCATGATGGCGAGTAGAATATTACATGGATCGAAAACAATTATAAATTGTTTACGAAATATCAACAGAACCAACAATGGTATTTTATATAATTTACTATGTAAAATATTATTTATGTATTTCTCGGATTTCTACTTACCGTGTTTGCCTAACCTGAAAAGATGCAACCTCGATTGTATTCAACGATTTGTTAGTGTTTTATTCTGCTTTTAGCTACAACTTTATTAACATCACGAGTTCCATTGGACCAGCATATAAAACTAGCTCATACCAACTTTTTTAATAGACGTAAGCCCGTTTGGTACACTCTCTTCGTACTTGCTAGAGTTTGATCAATTCTGTCTTTTAACTACGAGAATATTTCTACCATTCAGGATCAGCGACCAACTTGTGGAAATCTGTTACTAGTGTCAGTAATGCTGGGAAAAGGAGAGGCAGAGGAAAGGCTGTACCTAGAATGAAGGATTTGAACAGGGGAAAAAAATTGGGCTGTGGGAAAGTACCAATTTTATTTCCAGGGCTCAATGCTCCTGTTTCACAAGGAGAATTTGTACTTAAACAAAGACGCCTTATGCCGAAAGAGCTACCGCAGATTGAAGTCGATCGCCCACGGCAGATCACAAAAAGACGGAAGATGAAAATTCATCCTCTGTTAAGAGGTTGGTCCGGGGGTATGCAAGGTGGTAGAAAGATTGGACCTCCCGATCCCATCGACGGCGGTTCGTAGTTTTCCAGTTTAATATCAATCATTTACGTGTATGATCTAGGAAATATAAATTTGTATAATATCAGAGGCTTTCGAGGGATTCGAAACGTGGATATTGTATACCAAACATGTGTCTGTTATGTCGAGTAATATGGGTCGAAAGAAATGTACCCGGTGTATGGTCATAACTGGGAATGGAAAGGGATTAGCCGGGTTCTCGTGGAACACGAGTCGTGAACTTAGATCAGGGCTAATCACGGCTAAGAACAGGGCTGGACAAAGATTAATTCACATCGAGAGATATAACGATCATACCGTCCTTCATGATTTCTTCACGCAATTTGGTAGAACGAAAATATTCGTAAAACAAAAGCAGAAGGGCTACGGGCTGGTATGCCATCGTGTACTTCGAGCGTGTTGCGAGGCGCTCGGTATAAAAGATATGTACGCTAAGGTTGAAGGATCGATGAATACTAATCATATTGTTAAAGCTTTCTTCATTGGTTTGTTACAACAAGTATGTTCCTTAGCGCCGTTTTTTTGCCGGAAGTACTCCAATTTTTCATTGATAATGTTAATCGCAACATTTACAGAAAACGCACGAACAAATGGCGAACGAGAAACAGTTACATCTGGTTGAAATAAGAAAGGAAAATAATTACTTTCCCACGGTTCTTGCTTCACCGCCGAAAGCTCGACGCTCTGAGGAAATTCCACCGGGCGAGGATCTGGATTTCAAATTATACATAATGAACGGAAGAGTTCCTCTAGCTAAAAAACCGAGGGTGCCTTTTTACACGAAATTACCGTCGTGGTTGATTCATCTGCGCAAGCAAGAACGTCAGAGAGGACAGAAAGATGTCGTAATCAGATCACTGGCCGAGTATGGAAGTATCTCGAGTTTTCTCACGGAGAAATATCCCGAAGCAACGGCATACAAAAACAAGAAAAAGAAGAAACAGGACGAAGACAGCATTGAATAGTAAAATTGATGTAAGGAGAAATCAAGGGACGCGGTAGCATCCCGAAGACATACATATACCCACAGAATTCTTTCCACATTCAGTTATTGAATTCTAGTTAATAAAATTGCTTATAATTAAATGTATATTCTGTATATCGATAATAAAACTAATTACACGAATTTCCTCGTACCATTGAACAATGAAGCATGCATATCTCATTGAAAACATAAAGACTAATGTTGTGATCTTCATGTTTATCTAGCAACCGGAATAGCGAGCATACCGCAAATATATTACGTAGGTATAACACGTTGTACGTGTAGGTAGGAGAAATGACGAAGTGTAACATGCGTGAAGTTAATCTTAAGAGTACCGGTAAGGAAAATACATTGTTTTATTGTTCGATCGAAATTTCGCTCCTACAAATCGTCTGACATTCTTATTTAACAAGTTTCGTCTGTAACCTATAAATTTCCATTGAACATAGCGTACAATCAGGATGGGCAAAATTACTTTCAACAATTAACAATATATAATTCTATGAGCGCGCATTTACGACGCGTTTTACTGGCAAAGTGTGTTGTTGATGCTGGGAACAGAGCCTACATGCGTAAGAAAAAGCAGTTGTGCAAACCCAATTGCAAACAACGATACGTACAGACAGATTCTTGTACGAACAATTTTATCGATAAACTGGCATACGATACTTTACATCATCCAGCGGTATACAATTATCACATTACATCGTTACTACTAACTGGTTCGTGCGATTTCATAAAAGGTATACATTTATTAACAGGATTTCTTGAGAATGAACTATGATTCAAAGTATTGTTATCCGTGTGAAGCAGAAAAACATTTCTCCAGTAATTACGATTACGACTTGACGTCGCGAACGAAATTGCGTAGTCCCGCGATTCGCCCAGGTCCATTTAAAACGAATAATTCCGAACAGTATTCGTTAAATTGCAAAAGCACCGCGCGGCGACCCTACACGCAATCGAACACTAGCAGTAGAAAAGTATTCAAATCTCAGGACACGAGAAACGCGATGAAAGTTCAAGATAGGTGAGGTAGAACATTTTGCTTTGCGATTTAAACTCGGGCTCGTATAGGTACCAATAGATTTCACTGTTCCTTGCCAATGTAAAAATATACACGCAGATATGAAGAAATTTCGATGTCCTATGAGTCTAGTTCTGAATCCTTATCGCAAGATACAAATCGTCTTTCATCGCCACCGATTTACACGTCAAAAAGTAGCGAGGATCATGAAATCGAAGTAGCCGCTTCGATCGACGCTAAAAAAGTATTCGCGCAGCCCGACGACACGGAGTACGTAAAATTTGTATACGAGATTACGCGCGATATAATATTGAATGGTCTGTATACGGACGAGGAATTGCAGATAGTGTTCAGCACACATATCGAGAAAAATAGAGCGGCTTTGAACATGGTCAGAACAATATTTCTTACCATCTAAATTGCATAAAACAATCGTTTAACATTTGTGTATTCCTAATTAGAATCGGATGCTGTACGAAATTTATCAATTAAAGATCGCTTTGAACATGACGGATGAGAACGACGACGATGACTTGGAAGATATCGTGTATTCCGAATATATGAGGACTTCGTGTAAGTTTCGACCGCCGACACCGCCGAAAACTTTGAACAGCGAAAGAGTACTAGAGAAGCTCAAGTATCAACAAGTGGATGAAGCGAGACGAATGTCAATTGACTCGCATAGAGCGGTCGTATTAGTCGATGCCAATCCCGAAATACGTGTAACCGAAAGAAATGTGCTTACGTCGTTATTAGAAGCCAACATCAGCCCCGAGAAAGCGAATGAGATTTATAAAAAAATTGTCCTTGTAAGCGACGAGGTGCATCCGTCACTGGTTCGTTAAACAAATTATATCGTCATATTTTATTTATACTCATTGTACGAATTTAATCATTTATTGATCAATTGTACGAATTACCTTAGATTGGAAAAAACGAGGAATCGAACGATGAAAGCGAAATGGAATTAAGCAATCATATGACGTCGCACGAAGTGAAGAAAATGAACGAACAGGAAGGAATTTTCGCGAACGACGATGTTACAGCACGGGAACATCAAAATTTACAAGTATAAAAAGGTAGATATACATACGCGCATACATTATAAGTACAATAGAGCTCTTAGTTTAACCGCGCTCCATTTTTATACTCGATACTCGATTGTACTTAATTATGAAGATAAGTAAAAATCTATAAATCTAGATTCTTATTCGTTCGTCTATAAAGAGTATTGTTAAAGAAGTATATTAATTATTGTTACACCTTTTATTTATAGAAATACGTAAGTGATAGATCGTTGCCTTCATTTTGTCAATTCTGTTACATTCTCGTTCGTTTCAACGGAGATAAAATATGTAGTGGAAAAATATATGTTACAGATGTACATACATAATTACAACATATACATACATATGTACATATAGTACCCATATTTAAAATATATACGTATTTTTATGTACATACTACATACATTTAAATGTATAAACGTTTGTTCATTTTTACAGTAGTTGCACTCAAGACTCTGTCTGTAGAGATCTTTATATTTAATCCATATATCATATATATTATACTATACATTATACATCGATTAGAAAATTAAAGCACCTATTTCTCGTTATTCTTATCGAAATGCAATATTGCATTATTCTTCGCTTATGATAAATTTATACATAACTTCTATAAAATTGGAGTGTAAAAAAAAATAAAACAAATTTNAAATACAAAATAAAGATAAATATTTTTGAACTGTCACCTTGCAGTTAACAATTCCTGCTTACTTACCCCAGATTAAAACGTCTATATGAAAATTTGATCGCTACAAATTGATATTAGCTACCATACTCCGAGAGAGCTTATAAAAAGTAATTTGTTCGTCCTTTCTTATCAACTGCCGTCAGACGCGTTCGACGAGGAATCTTCTAGTTCCGGGGCATCAGGACCTCTGTTTAAAATACTAAGAAGATCTGTGATATGGCTTATAGTAAAATCTGGCTGTGGATCATCCCTTAACAAGGACGACTTATCCGATATTGGGATCCAAATTGTAGCTCCCAGCCCTGCCTTCACTCCACCTAAGGAAAAAACGATATTAGTCTCTATTAAAGTATTTCTTATTCCTCGTATAAACATTGCATGAATGATAAAAGTAAAGTACCGAGAATATCTGTTTCCAATTTGTCGCCAACCATTATGCATTTGTCTGGTTTGACGTTTAAGAACCGACACGCTTTTCGAAATATTTCTCTCTCCGGTTTTTCCCATGCCAAGTCTCCCGACACAAGGATGATGTCGAAGTACTGTTCCAGCGAAAGTTTTCGTATTTTCTCCCATTGAGCGTTAGAAGGTCCGTTTGTGATCAAACCTAGCAGGTACTTCAGCCTCATTTGTCGGAGCATTGAAACTACATCTGATGCCAGCATCAGATAATAGTATCGCAGATACAACCATCGTTCGTAAACTTTCTTCGCCAGATACGAATATTTTTCTCCGAGTGCTTTGCTCCATAACGTTATCCGCCACACATCCAGAGTATGAGTGACGTTGTCAGGACATTTTCTAAAGAGTTTCAAGTACGTTGTCGTAATCTTGACAGACACGTCTTCGGGTATACCATATTCTTGCGTTAATTCCTCAGCCAACTGTTGAGTAAAGTCAGAATACATATCGTTAGATACGTTTGCTTAATCTACGATGTGTAAATCAAGCGGTATTACATAAAACTGAACAAAATACAAAGTTCACACTAGAGGAGAATGAAACTGATTTCCACATTCAACATGATTTAAACGTCTGCCGACATGAAAGTGGATGTATTGCGTTCTGATAATAATCGAGAAAAATAATGATAAATGCCTAATAGCAATAGGGCAAGAAAAATGCTTTGTTGAATGTGGAGTTGAATGTCTGAACCAAGCTTATAGGAGGAAGGATTTAAGATTCAAACGGAGTTTAGGTCACTTAATTCAGTTTTTGATGATTACCTAGAAAATGTATTGATTCATTGAAATACTCGAGCCGAATAGTGGACACTCGAAGTGGTACCCGCGTTCATTGCTGTAATCACAACAGAATGAGTTGTGCCAACAAGAAACTTATACTATTTATTCCAATCCTAGATGCTTCACTCTAGTTTTTGTTGCTAGTTCACATTCATATTTATCGCTGCCAGATGATTTTGCCACGTATTGACGTAATAAAACGTAAAATATCATTCTCGTGTTATTCAATGGAATTGCGTCATTAGTAACTTCTTTTTATGCTATAAAGATGGGTAAATAATTCAGTAGATACTTTAGTTTAGAAAAACGATTTTCACTTTAATATAAAATCACGTATCGTTTTACAAAACTGTTTCGTTACACGGAAACAACTTTTTAAGTATGTACATACACTCTAGATTGTATTAACATTTGGATACAGAGCACTCTTATTTAGTATATCGTAGTAGCAGTAAATACATATTAGTTAAGTCCATCGCTTGCCAGAAAACTATTTCCAGAGATGTGCTATCTAACTTATATTTATTTATTGCGTGCTGTTTTGCAAAACTCGAAAATAGGCATACAAATACATAGGTAATCGATCGAATATTCAACTGAATAACATATGTAAACCAAATAGATTGTCCTAGTCCCCGAAAAGATATTTTCCAAGTTCCATCATACGATGATTTCTACACACGGTCAAAGCTCCGCGTTTCTTCAAAACCGGAGCAACATTTTCATCTGCTTGGACTAAATGACATAAAAGATCTTCAAAAGCAGATTTTACATGCGGTTCAAGACTTCCTATCTTTACTTTCTTCAGGGTTTCAATAATCTCTTCTGCCCAACCAGACTCGAGCGTGAACTGCGAAAGCCAGGGTATGACCTTCAACACTGCAGCCATCGTTTGCATTCCAAGAAACCACAGTTCCATAAGTTCCGTCCATCTTTCCTTGTACGAAATGGCAACCACGAGTTCGGTTGGATCGTTACTCTCATCAATGATATACGCATCCCATAAGAATCTTATCGTAGCCTGAATATATCGACAGATAGAAAAATCGTTCTTTTTAACGTGCATCGCCTGTTGCTTCAATAATAGTAATCCTAGAACTGCGAAATGACCATGCAGCACCAAATTCTCTGGAATTTGCTTGAGTTCAGGGAGATTGTTGAAAATGAATTTCAGTAAAGAAATAAACGTCGATGACTTCTCTACTAATTTCGCTTCGAGTACAGTGATGTTCATCAAAACGTTGCAGAGATAGACCATAGCCTGCCTCGAATCCTTGATAGCTTCGAGATCTACTTCTTCTTCTTTTCCTTGCTCTTTTATCGCCTTCAATCTCTCTGCCTTCGGTACCGGCGGTTTCTTATAATGCACAATCGTCCAATGGTAAGATAAACATTCAAACAGGACTTCCTCTTGTTTGTGTTGAAGTAAAATCTTTCTGGCTTCTTCTTCCACGGTCAAGTGGCATAACGCAGGTAATAGAAGCCTCAATAAGTCAACCTCGCTTACCGGATCGTACGTAACTTCTCCGGAGGTCATTCCCTCGTCACCTTTGGCCTTAGCATTCGCCTTTGCCTTCTCCGCGAGTTTCCTATTTCTATGCGCGTAAAACGTATCATTGGCTACCGTCAGAATGTAAGGCAGCACCGCGCAAACTTGCGAACGCATAGCTGTTGTTTCTTGGGCGAGCCATGCTGCTAGTACTCTTACCGTGGCGCAAATAAACATTCTCTCCCTGGGGTCCTTCACTTCTTTCATTTTAGATACAGCAGTTAATAGACCTAGTACTGCGCCAAAAGCTCCCTTTAAAGCTGTGTACAATGACTGCTTCTCTTTCTGATCGAGATCTATTTGATCGCTGGTGATGTACCCGACACAAACTTCAAGGATGGTGAAGCAAGCTGTTATTAAATTTGTATTAGCCACCACAGCTTTCAATTGCTTTCCTTCTAATTGCATTCGAACTTCTATAGACGCCAGGTGAATCAGCAATAAGAAAAATACTTTCGGCTTCTCTTTGTTCGATAAAGCCCACTCTGGTCCCAATAAAGATATCATCGTAGAAGCAAGAGCTAATGCTGAATCACGCTGATTCTTGCCTATCTTCGATCCAAGAATATCGGACAAACCTTTGTGAATGCTGCTTAGCCAAGATTCATCTTTAGCAGTTTCGCTGATAATTTTCTTCCTACAGGATAATAGTAGAGCTTCTAAAATAACGCACAAATTAAACTTTCTCTCCGTATGATCCGTTTCGAAGTCTAACGCGATTTTATTCATAATAGCGTGGAAGGGTGCGGCATCAGTTGCATCCCATGCCTCCGGATTGGCAAGAGTGACCAATATGTTTAAAGCCTGATCTGTTTGAAAACTTTTCTCCGAATAAATTTCACACATCTTGGAAATAGCATTCTGCTGGATCAAAGCTTCCTTCCCTGGAGGGTAATCAGCAATGTGCTTCAAGCACGTATATGCCTCGCTAACAGTAATCAACATATCGCTGTCCGCGTCCTCGTCCCCTTCAGATACGATTTCAAGTAGCGCAGGTACATGAGTAATCATATCAGGATGAGAAGCTAATTCTGGCTCTCCACAAAACGCAGAGAGTATAGATAGTGCGACAGACTTGTATACTTGTGGAGGGCAGTCCACGGCGTTGTCCTTCGAGCATAACAATTTCTTTAGGAACTTGGTTCCTGTAGCTTCGAACAGCATTCTTTTATCCACTGGTGTACAATCTTTGGCATTCACCAATTTTGTGACCATAAACAAGGCGGCGAACTTCTCTGAGTCTGACTCAGCAGACTTCAAAATGGCCACACACTTCTTCACATTATCTGAGGTAGTCATGATTGCTTCGTTATAATTTTAGCTTCCTTTGTATTTCAACTTTATTGGTACTCTTATTAAGCTGACAGTTTCTCAAATCTGGCACACAGACGATTCAAACATATTATTTGCATTAAGGAGTATCCAGTTGGTTTTCACAGAAGCTAAGCAACTTTCATCTGTCACAGCCAAAAGCCAACTGGCAGTCCTCCCAGAGCAAACTCCTTAAAACTAGCCTTGCCCTTTGACACACTCACTTAGCAGGACAAAAATAAAGTTATACCATCACGGCTGCTCGTTTCGTGAAAGCAGTAAATACGTACTTGTGTCAGCCAGCAAATATGAATTACTCAGTTGTGCTAAATTAGGAATATCGTTGATATTTCTGTTGCTAAAATGTCGATCGTTAATATCAATTATTGTATCGAACGGGACAATGTTAAAGACTGTTCAGAACAATCTGAAAATTGATAGTCTTCGTTACTTTCAAAATTATTCAAAGGTGATCGTTATCGTGTAAAAATTACTTACGAATACTTTGAACAAAATTGTACTGTGCAGTCGATTGGTATCTCTAGATCGTGAAAACCTTCAGTACCGTGGTTGTACGCTTTTTCTACGTTACACCGAGCGTCTGGACAGTACAGTAGGATCGGTTAAAAATAACCGCCCAAGAGAAAGCTCTATATCAGGGAGTCGGCTCGTATTACACAGAAGATTCTATTCTCGTGCGATCTTCGTATTCAAACGAAATTAGAGGGTAAATGCACTATTCGCTGTACCACCTCTTTATACACATACATACTTCGGAAATACTTAAAATACGACATGCCAACACGTGTGACCTTTTAGCACGTGATCCATGAACATTTTGTATCTGATCGACGGTTAATTAACAATTGTTTTTCACGTATTCTCCAGGAGAAAAAGTTGTTGGTATAAAAGATAAAATGACAACTAGTGTAGACTGAGCTAATAGCAATCTTGTCCACAAATCTTCAGGAAGAAACACGCGCGCACACACACACATGTATACTTATATATACAAATTCTTACACTCCGATAGTTAATGCATACTCCTCCGAACGTTAATATAAATCTTAGCGTACCTTTCGACATGTTTGATTATCGCCCTTTCTAGTTTCGATGAGAGTATTGTCCAAATCGAAAAACACAGCGCTTATTGTTACGTTTGACGATGAACGGAAGTGCTTCTTATGAAAAGTCGCCATTGTCATCTTCGGTATAGTATAATAATCTGCTATCGTTATTGCTAATTCGACGACGACGACGTCCCGACAAGAAAGAATCGCGCATGAAAGTATACGTTAATGGTCAAGTAACGGCTCCCCTTTGAAAACTTTTCAGGGATGAGTGTATCACACAACTCATTGAATTTTGGACTTTGAATCGACATACACATAGACAAATCGCGGCACATTCACATAGGTGTAGTCTTACATGAGATATATATTTTAATGTATACATAGTTTATTTTACTTGCTTTCCTTTATTTATTCAATCCTTTCATCGTTTCAATTTATTAATTAACCAGCGAACATTCTATCTGTATGGAATAACTTCTTTGATAGAAATATGTTATACAGTTTGATTAACGTGTTCTCGACGTTATATCCATAGATATATGACATATATATGTATCTATACATTTTGGCGCTAAGATAAGTTCCTACTTAAAGTTGACAGTTACAGTCGATGAATCTACTGCGTACGGAAAAAGTTTCTCGATTACATTAGTTTCGAAATGTCGGCTTTACCACCCACAGTTCAGCTTGAAGAAAATGAAGAAGTAGAAGAACAAAACCACGTGAGGTTAATAAAAACTCTCGAAGTGAGTTGATCGTACAACATCATCTATAATATTGTCAAATATTATTTATATGAATTACAATGCATATACTTTTTTATTCAGGGAAATGGTATAACTGCAGGAGATATAAAGAAACTGGAAGAAGCTGGTTATTACACCATCGAATCTGTTGCTTATGCCACTAAGAAATGTCTGCTTACTATCAAGGGTATCAGTGAAGCCAAAGCAGACAAAATTTTACAAGAAGCTAGTAAACTAGTTGTGATGGGATTTAAAAGTGCTAATGAAATTCATCAAATAAGATTGAACATAGTTTTTATATCAACTGGCTCCACTGAGATGGATAGATTATTGGGAGGTGGTATAGAGACTGGGTCTATCACAGAGATATTTGGTGAATTTGCCTCTGGAAAGACCCAAATATGCCATACACTTGCTGTCAATTGCCAATTACCTATAGACATGGGAGGTGCAGAAGGCAAGTGTTTATACATAGACACAGAAGGAACTTTCAGGCCGGAAAGATTAATTGCAGTAGCAGAGAGATACAAAATTAAAGGGGATAGTGTACTGGATAATGTAGCCTGTGCCAGGGCTTATAATACAGATCATCAAACTAAACTGGTGGTTCAGGCTAGTGCCATGATGGCTGAATCTAGATATGCATTGTTAATAGTAGATAGTGCAACTGGTTTGTACAGATCTGAATACAATGGAAGAGGAGAATTAGCTGCCAGACAGACACATTTAAATAAATTCCTCAGAATGCTACTTAGGGTAGCTGATGAACACGGTGTTGCAGTTGTTATCACTAATCAAGTTGTCGCACAAGTTGATGGTGCTGCTAGTATGTTTGGTGGTGACACGAAAAAACCAATTGGCGGTCACATTTTAGCACATTCCAGTACTACAAGATTATATTTACGCAAAGGTAGAAGAGAAACTAGGATATGTAAAATTTATGACTCACCCTGCCTGCCTGAAAGTGAGGCAATGTTTGCAATAAATGGAGATGGTATTGGGGATGTTAAGGAATAGTAATATACTGTTTATACTGACATAAACTATTCAAGAATGTGCCTTACGAATAATGAATTCCCACTTATATTTTAAGAATACATGACATTTTCTTTTAAATACAGAATAAATGTGATTTAAGTAATAATTGTTTCAATAAATGTATGAAATTACACATATCCATTTAATTTTGTTTTGTACATTTAAAGACAAATTTGTACTTTCATAGAAAATATATTTTTGCAAATAACTTGCGAATATTTATTTATTATTCACATCATCGATTTATTAAACGACATATATTATTTATCTATAGATAATCTTTTAACTAGACGATCTATGGGATGTATTGTATTGAGAAGACAGAATTGTTCAGGTGAATCTTAACGAATTACATAATACAGTAACATGTAAAAAATTCATTGGGTATCATAAATCGTTTGATTGAATAAATACAATTACAAATACCATTCACCCTTATCGCAAAGTGCAATGTTTATTTTTCACGTAAATCCATTTTGTTTACAACGGAGTATTTCGAAAGCTGCGCCGCTACGATTCTTACGCCATTACTCTTTTAATATTAATTTGAAGAAAAGGAGTGTTGGGTCTGCAGTTTTTTGTGCAGATCAAGTAAGCAAGAATTTAAAAAAAAATTTCCTTTCGAGGTGAGTTATAGTTATGTGTCAGACGTCAAATGACTTGATTTTATAGCGCACAGTGTTCAGGAATCCTGATGTCCACATGATTATCATTCGTGGTTAATTCATCGGGCGTTTTAGGATATCAATATTTATAAAGTACCAAGATTATTCTTAACTTTATATTCGCTTATTTGTTAAGCATTAAATTACTGCGCGATTTGTTAACTGTACTTACATACATGCCACGTATACGTATGCACGTACGTAAGTTTACACGTGAAATTGATTGTATTTCAGTGTGAGAGCATCGTCGACGACAATGAGTGAAAACACTTCGCAGCATATTTTACCAAATGACCAACCAGTAGCTTACTTAGATTGCGATACTGCATTTCGTGCATTGACAGAGAAGGAGAAATTGTATGCTCATTATCTAAGCCAAGCTGCTTGGAACGGTGGTCTTATTGTAACTCTACAAACTTCTTCTGAATCACCATTAATATTCGCCCTTCTACATAAAATTTTCGTATCTGAAACTGTGGATGAATTGAAACAGTCTGCTCTGAATGCTGGCCTTAATGAAGATCAATTTACAGTAAGCTGAATTACAGTAAACTTAACTGTTTTCTTTCTCTAAGAATAACAATGAAATTAACATTATTTTATACCTCCAGGCATTTTTAGTATACACTTGCGGAATCTTTGCAAATGCAGGTAATTACAAGGCCTTTGGAGACACTAAAATAATTCCTAACTTGCCCAAAGATAAATTTGAAGCTGTTGTAAAAGTTTCGAAGGCATATAAAAATGATTCCGAAACTGCTAATGTGATTTGGAACAAAATTAAGGATATAATGTATTCCTTAGAGGGAAAATTGAAATCTTTAGGATTAGGCGAGAAGGGAATTACAACTTATTTTTCTGCCAACTGTACAGAAAAAGATGCACAGTTAGTGAACAATTTTATGCAAAGCAAAGGGCTGGAATCTTACAATGCAAGATGTTTTAAAACGACAAATAAAGGAGATAATATGGATGTATACGAAATTAGATTAGCTTCAGTGAAGACTGATGATGATCCTGATATCACATTATCAGAAGAAGTATTTAAGAATGCTAAGTTCAAAATTACAAGAGGAGATTACAGCAAACTACTGATTCCGGTTGTTGATAATCTTGAAAAAGCGAAAGAGTACGCAGCGAATGAGAATCAAAAGAATATGTTAAACAAATATATAGATAGTTTTAGTAAAGGATCCTTGCAGGATCATAAGGACGGTTCGCGTTTTTGGATTAAGGATAGAAGTCCTGTTATTGAAACTTACATAGGTTTCATTGAAACGTACAGAGATCCAGCGGGTCAGAGAGGCGAATTCGAAGGATTCGTCGCTATGGTGAATAAAGAAGTATCGAAGAAATTTGCTGCATTAGTGAGCAATGCAGAGAAATTTATAAGCAAACTCCCTTGGGGTGAAGATTTTGAGAAAGATAAATTTCTAAAACCCGACTTTACATCGTTAGACGTTCTAACATTTGCAGGATCCGATATTCCCAGTGGTATCAATATCCCTAATTACGATGAAATTAGGCAATCGGAAGGATTTAAGAACGTTTCCTTGGGCAACGTAATCCCAGCAAGCATGAAATTGAAGGTGATACCGTTTTTATCCGAACAAGATCAAATTTTTATGAACACTTATAGATTAGATGGTTTCGACGTGCAAGTTAGTTGCCACGAGCTTCTTGGTCATGGGACAGGTAAACTATTGAGGCAACTCGAGGATGGCTCGTATAATTTCAACAAGGGAGAAGTAAAAAATCCGCTAACTGGTAAACCAGTAGATAAATTCTTTCTACCTGGTGAAACGTATGATTCAAAGTTCGGTCCTCTGGGTTCGGCGTATGAGGAATGCAGAGCAGAAGCAGTCGGCTTGTATTTAGTTCTAGAGAAGGATATACTCAAAATATTTGGTCACGAGGGCTCAAAGGCAGATGATATAATATACGTGAACTGGTTGGTCCTAATGTGGGTTGGCTGTGCAAAGGCTTTAGAAATGTATCAACCATCGACTAAAAAATGGTTACAATCTCATTCGCAAGCGAGATACGTTTTGCTCAGAGTTTGTTTGGAGGCTGGCGATGGTTTCGTTAACGTAATCGAATCTGAGCCCAGAAAGAATCTGCTACTAACCGTTGATAGAACGAAAATTTCAACAGTAGGGAAAAAAGCGATCGGGGACTTCTTAACTAAATTGCAAGTTTACAAAAGCACAGGCGATGTCGAAGCAGCTACAGAAATGTTCGAAAGATACAGCGATGTACCTGAAACGGGGCCGTATCCATGGGCTCGTTGGAGGGACATAGTTTTGGCTCATAAAGAACCCCGAAAAATATTTGTGCAGGCTAACACGTTTGTAAATGGTTCGTATTTAAAGAATTACGTATATTTGTTACAAAAATGACAATTATATTAATTTATTTATTGTAGATAAGAACGAGGTGCAACTGAAGAACTATGAACCCAATTTTGCTGAATTGATTCAGTCTTGGGTAGACAGATTTCCTTCTACAGAAATTTCCAAAACTCTCATTGAACTTTGGGAACAAGATAAACAACATTTCCCGCTTTAATATAATTAAACACATATACATCCAACAATAAGTAACCTCAGAAACATTCGTTATATATTTTTTTCTACGCATAATGTAATATATATATTATATACGTTCATAAATATTATACCTCCGATTAAACGACATTGATTATTTATTGTTTTCCCGATTATAGAGAAAGGTACATACATAAATTTCCTCCGATCGCTGTAATTCGAAATGCTAACGAAATATGTAACGTGCAAACGCGCATGTTCGTACGATCGAATTGGCGGGAAACACGTGAAGAACGCAGTACAGTCAAGTACAATTCGGTAAAATGGTGTCCGAAGAGAGTTTAATTTATCATTTTATCAACCTAGACTGTGATATTTCGGTCGTAGATAAATACGCGTTAGACAAGTGTAAGTCATTTAATAATACGTAATTGGAGCAAAGCGAAAATCCTGATTTCTAACTAATAATACGACTCTTTTGTGTTATAACCTTATCTTAACATTCATCAACTGATCGACTGATTCTTGAAGAAAATTTTTTCAATCAGGTCTTCAGATTTGTGTTGCCCACGATATAACCGAAGAGAATTTTGTACAATCTTGGTTATCATATACAAAAAAGTACTTCATAAATGTCACTCCAACAATAAACGAGCTGATCAAGTTCGAAGATGTAATATTCAATAAAAACAAAAATAATTCTATACGAGAAGCGATAAAAACAATGTCGATAAACGACGAGGAAAATGATCTTTTGTATCCTTTTGCATCTTCTTACTGAAATCAAATTTTAATCGTTTTAAACTAGCTTATATTATCCTTACATGTGCATAATGTATGGAATTGTAGTAACAATGTTTTGGACATGTATGAAAATCCACAAGACTCTTCGTTAAAGGTAAGCTCCTGTTTCAATTGTACAGGTTTTTTGTTTCCTGTTTTAATTATTGTGTGCATGCATAACGAGTACAAAAATTTATTCGTATATTAGCGTTTATGTTTAAGAAAATCATTTAGGATTAAAAATATCTAAGTGAGACGTGCAGTTCGTAGATTAAAACGAAATGCTAAGGCTGCATTTTTCACCGAAGTATACCTGTATAGCTAGAATACGAGCAGGCTACTTTTACGATTTGAAAAGCAGCTCGGTCCCCTTATTCTTTCTTTCAAGAGAAAAGGTCTCTACCCCTGTAATGGGTTTAGACACTGTTGCCAGATTTGTGAAACTATCCAAAATACATACATACACCTACTTATTTATTCTTCATAAAGAATATCCGTCGACTAGTTGCATGCAATACGAAGTAAAACAACAAATATTAGATGAATCTAGTCATTGAGAAAGTGATATAGTACTTGGAAACGGCAGATTTTCAGTGTTAAACCTTAACCTTGGAATTGGAATGATTTACGCCGTTCTGGCAACGCTGTCTCACATTCTTTATGCTCGATCTATGGTCCGTAGTAAGGTAGCAATGACGTAAGGTTTCTACCTGAGATTCTTATTCTTCGTATAGTGTTTTCGAATCGTACTTCACAAAATCATAGGAAAGATAGATGAGAACTGAAGCTCATATTATTATGACCGTTTCAGTTGCTAACTACGTGAGTTAAATGTATATATTTGTTTAAAGACGTGAGCCAACAATAGCATTAAATCGTATAATATATTATATACTGCTTCAGATTAAGTAAGAATCATATTTCGCTTTCTCTGCAATCTTTATTAAGAGATCGCGGTTTCAGCAAACTCGGTCGTATATCGTAGGATGAAATATTCATGCTAAATACTAATACGAAACGTTTACTGTAGTAAAAGTTACGAGTGAAGCCTCCGCTGGCATTTCCCGGCAGGTGGTTTCTTGTACCTAAGTGATGCGGCGTTGTAGGATCTCGTTGCAGCACCGTAATTCCCGCCAGAAAAATCGTCCAGGTAGATCGCCGCCATTATCCCCTCTTCTTTCGTTCCCCGTCTCCCACAAAGGACACTGTACCGTGGAAGGGAATATTCGATTCACTCCTATTGGTAGAAAAAGGACAGTGTACCTTCTCGTATCGAGAGGAGAGGGGTTTTCGTTCCATCTAAGAGAGTTGACCAGATTTCTTCAAAGGGTACGATTTCAGTTTTCAAGGACCCAGGCTCCATTATCATTCCGATGCGCGCGTTTACACGATATTCCGAACAAAGCGTTACTCGCTCCGCGCAGTTTCGCCGTACAATCGTCAAGTTTCACCGAGATGGTTTGGCCACGAGTTCGTTTCGCTCGTAGACGAAACGATTACGGTTCGTATTTTGAAAAAATCGTCGGATACGATGAAATATCTCGATGGCGTCGAATCGAGACGCCATCGTTTGCCTGTCAGCGCGTCACGCGGGGTCGGAGTGTGTTATTTAGTGTACATTTTGCCGGCTGCTTGTGGACTTTATAGTTTACGTAAGCTATAAATTGAATGTAAAATTCACTGTTTGTGATGCGGGCTGAAAATCTGTGTTAAATGGTACTAGGGGGGAAGTGTAAAACGTGTACTACACGTTGAAACGGTCGAGTAAAGCGTCAGCCATTACGGAATTCGGTTTGAGTAGATTTCATACTCGAAAGTCATTCCGCCAATCGTACAACGTTCCGCGTCACAACGACCTGTTGCTATTGCTACCTACCGCCGTTACTCTCACTCCTATGATTCATTTCGGTTTTCCTTTGCTTTTCCTATTATTCTTTGCGCAATCGGATTCTGTGCTACGTGTTACGAAGACGTGCCAGACTCATCGCTTTGCATCAGCTTGTTCGAACTTATCGTTGTAAGAAATGCGCGATAAATGTATTTGCCAATATTGAGAAAGTTCACGGATAACCTTTCTCCCACTGATACAGAACTGAACGAGCATGTTGCATCGCTGTACGTAAGAAAAATAGTATTCTACGTGAAAAACGGAAAATGATCGGTTATAATCGTCTGCGTGCACGCGAATGTCGTCGACCGTTCGTTGAAAGTTCGGAGCGTCGCGTCGTTACAACCTGTTGCTACAACTATATCGCGTACCTGCCTCGGGTATCGTTCCATTCGAATCTTTTGAACATTTCACACAATCAGGCGATTATTCTACGTAGCAGAGGTATTATACAATGACTTCTTTCTTTACACGCGGTACACATGCAAGAGTACGCGAGATACGTGTGAACGCATAATATGTCTAGTGTAGTAACACTAAACGCATGTAAATTATAGTACAGTTTTAGTTTTCTTAAGCGGTGCTTAGTTGAAAGATCGGTTCCTTAGGGAGTTGCTCGTATCTACCAATTAAGTGCAATTGACCAGTAACTGACAGCCCGATCTCCTTCCTCTCTTTGCTCCAATTTCTCGTTTCTCGACGTTCTTACGCGTGGACTGAGGAAGAAATTCAAGCGTTTTCTTGTACTTAAAAAAATGAACGAAACTCAAGGCGTTGCATTACATTAAGAAACGAATGAACAAGTCTGAGCATGTTACAACTGTATCTGGTAAAAGCTTCTTGTTATTTCCCACGGTATCTCTGTGAACAGTGGGGCGAAAGATTGCCAGGGGCGGTTATGTAGTTTGTGAAGGGAGGGATGGGAGGAGAAATAGGCTTCTGGCTCCGTGTGTACTCGGCTGGGAAGAAGGGGAAAGAGGATAGCTCGGTGATCGACCCAAAGTTTCACATGATCTGGTACAACAAGTATCGTTCACATAAATTTTCCCGTTCGCGTCTCTTCTTCATGTTCTTCATATAATTGTAAATAATGTTCTATACCTTATCTCTTGAAAACGACTGAATTTATTATCGGAAGATCGTATCGCTCGTATCGAAAAATTGGAGAGACGTGAAAACCGGTTCTCACGAGGAAAATCTAATTTTAATGCGATGTAGGAGCATCGGACGCTAACTGCAAGAAATAGTCTGAACTTGATCGAAACGATATGTAATAAAAGTACGTGCCGAGAACGATCAGGTTAATAACAATTAACCCGTCTCGTTATGATGATTCCCGGACAATAGGCTGCGTTATAACTATTTTCCATTATTGTAGCGCATTATCAGCTTAAAATCGGCTTTTACTGTGAAATTTTCTTTATTTCGCTGGTATATTCGTTAAGCATTTTAATTCCCAAGTACGCACGATATGTTTTACAATGCATCGTGCGAAGGAAGAGGGCACGGGGAGATGGAAGGAAACGAGATTCCTGAATTTGCCAAATGAGTGAAGGTCTAGTGCACATAGTACGATCGAATTGTGACTAGATCCACACTCATTAAGCACGTTTGGGTGTAGACATCGAAGCTTCGTAGCGACTACGGAATGAGTTTTGCCACGTATACGTAATATAATTGTATAGCGAATTGATCGACAGGCAGAAAATTCTCGATGCAGACGAGCAATTTTCTCGGAAGGAAAGCTCGTTTGCACAGTCTACAGCAGCTAATTCCATAGACGAGTATGAATGTGGTGCACGTTTCAGTTTAGTTCGTGACTAGATACATACTCGTCTACGGTTGCTTGTTATGCAAATTATATACGAATAAATTTTTCATTTTATTTCACTTTTAGGATTTCATTATTTTTTTTAATCTTTATTACATGAGTTTATATTAGTTTTTTTTAATCTTTATTACATGAATTTATATTATTTCTTTAAAGCAAACAACGTCGACGTCGAGTAAAAGGGCAAGGAGTCTGTCACAGGAGACAGAAAATGGTAATAAACTGCGGGCAGTGGACCGAGACTTTACAGCGTCGACTTATGAGCCATCACCGTAAGAAAATGTCCGATTGTATATAATTACTTATACGTGTATCTAATCATTGCAAGTTGCAATCATTTTTATAGAAATATACCTAATCGCGCTCCAAGCATAACTGTTCGGGGAAAGATTCTTTTGAGTTTCGGGCTGAAAGTTGATAAATGGAAGAAGGAAAATGAAGAATTATCGATCCTTAAAGCCGATGTACCTCTCGTGCCTCATAATGTACAATACATGTATGAAATGCTTGATAGACAAAGACAACTAATGGTAGAAAGGTGCGAAACTTTCGGGCGGCGTCTGTGCGAAATTTGGAAACGCACGGAACCCGAAGATTCCGATGTCCATTCCGTAGAAAATATAATGGCAAGGCCTGCCACACTGTTTAGGACGTACGGGAGAATATTCCTAAAGGCCGAGAAAGGCACTCATAAGAAAATCATTCTGTTGGAAGGTTGTGAGCCATTTAAGGGTAACACCAAGTCTACGGTCGTACGCATGAATTTCGATAGGCTCAAATCGTATGCAATATTCCCGGGACAGATAATCGGGGTAGAGGGTATTCTTAATACAAAAGGCGTTTTAACGGCAACGCAGTTATTTACAAAAGGGCACGTACGATTATTCGATGCACCGAAGTTGTGCAAAGATATCAAGATATACGTCGCTGCTGGTCCGTTCACATCTATCAGTGATTTGAATTATCAACCTTTATGGGATTTTATGGAACGCGTTGCGGAAGATGAGCCCGATGTATTGGTACTGATCGGTCCTTTCATGGAAGTGGATCACCCCAACATTAGGGATTTAAGCGACACGTTTGGAGATTTCTTTCACAAACTTCTGTCGAAAATTTTACACTATTTGCAAGGGTATGCTGTTCACGAATTATTTTAAGCATCGATGGGAATATAAATTGTTACTAAAAATGATTAATATTTAGAAAATTTACAAGAGTTATTCTGGTACCTTCCTATCGAGACGCGCATCACGATTCGGTTTTTCCGACACCGGAATTTGTTCTTAACAGTAATAAAGTCGGGCCGACTTCTACAATCGTTCATTGTATGCCAGACCCTTGCATAATAAATATCAATGGTTTGCACATAGGAATTACATCCGTCGATAGCCTTAAACATTTCGGATTAAAGGAACTTTCGTAAGTAGTATCGTAACGCGATATAATATGCTGTGTTTCAATGTACAATTTTTTAGGTTCCAGTCTGCAACCGATAGAATCAGCCGTTTAGCTGACCATTTGTTATCTCAAGCTTCATTCTATCCGATGTACCCTTATTTTAAGGGATTACCTTTTGATATAACTCTTTGGAAAGAATACGGGTGCTTCCCTAAGCAGCCGCATATCATGATTCTACCGTCCGACATCAAGTTCTATTGTAAATCAATAAGCAATTGTCTTGTCGTAAATCCTGAACGTTTACATAAGTATAATTACGCTAGGATATGCGTAAAACCTGTACGTAATGATACATGGGAGCCGAATGATGTGTCTTGCGAGATTGCTAAAGTCTGATGAGGGGGTGTCGGTTATATATGTTTGTACGCGAAGTATTATAACTTGAGATACATTAAATAAAGCTGTTTCTTATTTAAAGCATGATAGAAATAACCGTTGAACGATCCCTAACTTCTGGATTCATAGATACCTTTGATCTTTTCCCGTGGAGACGTGGTTTGTCTTTGCTTTAGACCCATGCTCACGTGCGTAATTCTCGTGTGGGTCGTAAAACGTGCGATGGCGCCACACGAGCGACAATCCGGAGCCATCGAGTTTTCTGCTTCTCGTGAGTTGTGGAATCGGCCATTGCTCCAATATTTTTCTTGTGGTTGAAAATTTTTAATCTCTAATGGATATAGAAAATTGTGTATGAGTACCGAGGTAAGTTGTTCCAACTTCTTTATGTACTTGTTGTCCTCCGGCCGGTACGTTCCGACGGGAACTGTAAAGATAATTGGGCATCAGCGATCTGCCAAAATTCGTTCCGCCATCTTTGTTATAGATTCGTTTACATCTTGCTGTGTATGTTGTATCTTTTTACATTTACATTGTAATTCATATTTTGTACGCGAAATTGATTTATCTAAACCGGGCGCGTCTGCACGCGGCGCGAATCGCGGTGCTGCAAGCTTGTTTACAGGTTTATTTTCTAGTATTACGAATCATCTTACGTGGGTTTCATAATTGCTGTTATGGCCTTGGTTTTTTCATCCAAAAAAACTAGAGTTATGAAATCGGGTGACGAAAACTAAGAATTTAATGCCCTTCGCGTGCCGAACCTCGGCATCTTCTCGAAACCAACGCTTTTTTAACAGTACGATGCAATAGATTATTTAGTTACTGTTCGTCTAGTTAAAAATTCATCTAGTTTTTTATGTGACCAATAATCGACGAAATGTGTAATTGAAAACGTATGAAAATAATATTGGTTGACAATTTTATTTATTTAAAATACTACCGACGGAAGAATTTATAAGTTTCTTGATTACCGACCTATCTATTTTCGATGTTAAACGCAGCAACTCATAATTGCAATTAAATTGAACTTTGCGAACATTGTTTGCGTAGCGTATTTTATGTTTTGATGTGTTATGTATGAAGACAAAATAAAAACGATCGTTTCTATAGATCTATTCGATACAGCGCTTCATTTTAGAATGTAATATACATTTATGGAAAGATATGTTGACTAAAATATGCGATGTATTTGTTTTAATTAATCGAACACCAACGTGTAATGAATTATTTAATGCTCAACGTAGGATGTTGAAACTTTTACCGGGTATTATAAATACGACGCGGTGTATGTATCGGGAAAATGAGAAAGCGAGAGTGGCATATCGATCCGGTTAGTTTGAAGTCTACCTACTTCGAGCCTGATTATACTTTTACCGTCTACGTCTACGTAGAGCTAGCCGAAACGATTATCAACCAATTTGGCATGCACACGTGCAAAAATTAAATTTTTACTTTGCAGTATAAGTGTTATGAATATTTCTCGAATGTATAACATCGACAGTCTGACATTTAAGGATGTATTGGCTATACAGTCAATCCCAAAAGTTTATGCACTTTAGAAACGCATTTTTTAAAAAGAAATCAGACGTCGGAAGAACATTGCTAATAATAAACA